CCCTGGGGTGGCCGGTGGTGGGGCGGGTGGGGTGGTGGTGTTACCCTCAGCCCCACTGTGGGTTTCGACTTTGGGTGCATGCCCTGACCCACGCCTCTCCCCCGGCAGGGGAAGGGCTTGTTCGCCACCAAGAACATCCGCAAAGGGGAAACCGTCTTTGTGGAGAGGCCAGTGGTGTCATCCCAGTTCCTCTGGAACGCCCTGTACAACTACCGAGGTGAGCGGCCGGTGGTGGTGGCACGTCCCCGTCGCCTGCCCCGGAGAGGTGACTGCCGGGTGCTGAAGGAGCTGCCCAGTTTTCGAGGCATGGGTTTGGGTTTGTCTTAGCGCCGCCGGGAAGGTGGCCCTGCTGCCATTTCTGCCTCTGCGCCGAACAAACTGTTGACAAGTTGGAAACGCTGATGTCATTTGAGGGATGGTGACTTCCATCAAGCCTGGAAGAAGGCACTGCGTGCCACCAGCGGGCACCATCTGTGTGGGAACCCCAGGTTTTTAGTGGCGTGGGTGCTGATCCAAATCACACCACCACAAAGTACAGCCCACGAAGGTGCCAGTGTTCCCTGGAGGCGCCAGAACAAAAAATGAGGGTTGTAAGAGCAGGATTTTAAACTTTTTTGTCCTATCTAGACCCTGCTGCCTGCTGAGCTCCATCGTGGGTCAGTGACATGGGGATGCTTGCCATTGTATGTCCCTTAAACACTTCCCAGCGTTACAGGGCAGTAAATGAGAGCTGGAGGGTTTAAATTGCAGTGGAAATGGTCTTTCCTATGGAGGAAGTGGTGAGAGACTGGTTTCTCCAGCTCAGAGATGGTGTTGGTATCAGTCATGCTGTCTTGCTCTGGGCCCTGGCCCCTATTCTCACTGTGGCGTCTGTCCGTCTTGTCTCCCCGCAGCCTGTGATCACTGCCTGCGGGCTTTGGAGACGGCAGAGGAGAACGCCCAGCGGCTGCTGGGGAAGAGCTCGCTGGTGCTGCCTCACCCGGAGCAGTGTGGTATCCGGAAAGACCTGCACCAGCAGTGTCCCCGGTGCCAGGTACGGGACTACTGGGAGGGACTGTGGTCTTGTTGGGGTGGCTGACTCCTTTACAGCATCTAGCCAGGCACTTGCGCTGCCCCGAGTTGCGTGTCTGCCCTTACCTTCTGCATCGTGATGGATAAAGAGCTGGGGCTCAGATAGTCAGGGAGGGGGCACAGCTAGGCCTAGGACCCCCTTTTCCTGCTGCCATAGCCAATGCTGGGTGCTGTGCCCCTTGCTCTAGGTGACGTACTGCAGTGCTGAATGCAAGCAGGCCGCTTTGGAGCAGTACCACCAGGTCCTCTGCCTTGGCCCGTCCCGTGACGACCCCACGCACCCCCTCAACAAGCTGCAGGAGGCATGGAGGTAGGGGACTGGCCTGCCTGATGCTCCACGGGCAGAGGAGATGGCTCTTCTGGGCTGGGTGACACTGCCTGGGACCAGGGCTGAGGACCATCCTTGCTTTGCATCCCTGCATGGGGTGGCTGGAGGGTGGTGGTGGCGGCCTTGGGGCACTGCCCAGCTCTACCTGCTGGTTGGGCAGCAGGAGCACAAGGGTTTGGACACACGGCTGAGCAGTTCTTATTTTTCTCCCAGTAAAGAGCTACAAAGCACTGAGCTGCGCGTTGCTCACTCCTGCAGTTTTATAGTGCTCCTGCAGATCTCCAGCCTCTGGGAGATCCTCCTCGTAGCACCCTTGCGGATACATAAATTGCTGTCCCTGCTTGCAGATGACAAAATGGGCACAGAGGGGAGAAATTACATCCCTGACCCAAAGCTTGTCACAAACAATAGCTTTTGCTGCAGTCCTGAGCTTTCTATGGGACCCAGGCTCTAGTTTAGCAGGACGGTAGGGCATTATTTGTATGCCCAGAGCAGGCAGGTGGGTGGAGGATTCTCGCCCTGAGTGGTGCTGGATCATCACACAGTGATGATGCACTGGCCACTTTGGTGTGATGGATGGATGTGGGCCCGACCACATGGATGACAGCTTCTTCTGCCTCTCTCCATCTTTTTATTTCCATACCAGCACTGATCTGCTCTTTTTTTTTTTTTTTTTCTCCTTCATTCTTATCCCCTAGGAACATGCATTATCCACCAGAGACTTCCAGCATCATGTTGATGGCCCGGATGGTCGCCACTGTCAAACAGGTACATCTGCAGTTTGAGCCACTGCTGTCAGGGTGTGATTTTCTCATCCCGTTGTGGCTGTTATTCCCAAGGATCGAGCTATTCTCTGGCAGCTGGCGGGGTCCTTGAATAGATTTCAACATCTAGTGGTCCCTGGTCATGGAGACAGCAGGCAGCAAAGGAGGTTCCTATGTCCTGAGCCAAGCAGGTCTTTTTTTCTGTACCAAAATAGTGAGTCAGAATGGAATCTTTCCTTTGGCTCTGTTTCTTTGGCTTGGCTTTCTCAGTGTTTATTCTGACAATAAACCATGCAGCTGCTTCTGGTGGTTCTTGATAGCAGGCTGATACCTCTGAGCTCAGCAGGGCTTGTCCTCTCATCCCTCTCTCCTGGCTGGGGAGGAAAGTGTTGTTGACGCAATGCCTTTGCTTGATTCCTTTTCCAGGCTAAAGACAAGGAGTGGTGGATCAAGGCCTTTTCCCAGTTCTGCAGTAAGACAGCAAACGAAGAAGAGGAGATTGTGCACAAGCTGCTGGGAGACAAATTTAAGGTAAGACCCTGGCAGCTCTTGGATGTGTTGAATCCCCGAGCTTGCCCTCTTCCTGCCTGTGTCTGTGAGCCCACAGGTGCAGAGGCCCTGTTACAGCTGGCATGGGAGACACTGGAAATCGCAGGCTCAAAGTGGGGACATAAAGCCCCCATTAGGGGCTGGCTGACCTGAGAGAGGAAACGGATTGCTTAGAGGGTTTTGGGCTTGTGATGCTTTCGTGGGACTTGCTGCTTGTTCCTGTGGTGGAGATGTTTCTGCTGGGGGGTGGGACAGGCTGATATTTAGCTGCTGAGTAGATGGCTTTTGCTGCTAAAATGGATGGGTTTCGCTGCTCTGAGGGCAGCAGCCTCCAGCCTTGCAGAGGATGAGCAACCTGACTCCTGAGCCTTCTAGCCCATTCCGGGCTTGGCGATTAGTCTGTGTTTGACTCCCAGCCGTACCTCCCCACCCTGATGGTGTTGCCATGTCCTGCCAGGGCCAGCTGGAGCTGCTGCGGTTGCTCTTCACCGAAGCCCTTTACGACGAATATCTCAGCAGGGTGAGTTGAGCTGCCTCCCAAATAGCCCAGGAGCATGGCGGGACCCTCCGGTTGGCCAGGGCTTCCCCTGGGACTCTGCCCATTCCTTGCTTCCCCCAAAGCTCCCTGTGAGATTTGAGGCGCTTGCAGAGTGGGGTGCTGCCGCAGGCTGGCCGGGGCTCAGCTGCTTTCTCATCTCCCTTCTGCAGTGGTTCACTCCAGAAGGCTTTCGATCCCTCTTTGCCCTCGTTGGGACCAATGGCCAAGGCATAGGAACAAGGTAATGGGGCTTTTTGGGTGCTCCTTGAAGAGCAGCAGAGATGTGGCACGGAGGGGATATACAGTCTGTAAATCCATGCTGGCCTGGGTAATGGTTGCGTTCAGACATAACAGAGGGGGATGGAGAGGCAAATTTAAAAGCAGTCCTTCATCTTGGCTGTATGCAACCCTTGCATGTCCCTTTGCCAGACCTTGGCCTCTCAGAGCCACCAAGTTTAACCCTTAGATCGACCCTGTGAGGTCTCATGGTGTGCTGACAGCGCTGTGGGACTGTAACGGTGTCCCTCTGCTTCCTGGCAGTTCTCTGAGCCAGTGGGTGCATGCTTGCGATGCGCTGGATCTCCCCATGCTGCAGCGAGAGGAGCTGGATGCCTTCATCGACCAGCTCTACAAGGACATTGAGAAGGGTGAGACTCTGACGTGGCTGTGGGCGGTGTAAAGCAGTGCCGTTTGCGGGAGACTGCTGGAGACTCTTGCCAGGATTTGGGGACTAGGAGTTGTTCCTGCCGGGGACTGGGAGATGCCACTTCCCCTGGCCCATGTGAGCCATGCCTGCTGCCTTTGGCTCGATATGTGGATAGGGGAAGTGCAAGTTTGTGGGCAGCACAACCTGCAGCAGGTTGGTGTGCGTGGAGGGCTGATCTGGAGGGATCCTGTGCAGAAAAGACCCATCTACACTAAAAGTTCAAAGACCTGTTTTTCACTTTTTTGACTGATGCAGCTGTACAGGGACAGGCAAGGGAGCGCGCACTTGAACTGGGCGTGCAAATCTTCGTGTCCTCCATCCCCTCCCAGTGGGGATGGAAGGGTGCTTTGGAAACCACCCTCCAACACCCAGCCCCCAAAGCAGCACTGGTTGGGTGCTGTTCAGTGTTGACAGACATCCCTTTGTGCTCACACTGAGCTGTGCATGTGGAAGAGCCAGAATGGCTCCTAACCGCTGTGTCTGTGCTGCAGAGTCAGGAGAGTTCCTCAACTGCGAGGGATCAGGTCTCTACGTGCTCCAGAGCTGCTGTAAGTAACACAAGGACTGGGAGTAAAGCTAGTACTGAGGAGGGGGATGTCTTGGGCTAGACTGGCTCAACTCTTCCTAAAAGCCTGTGGAGAAAGGGATTTACGCTTCCCGTCTGTGAAATGGGATGTGATGGGATGGGATGTGACGGGTGCTGCCCTGGGGCCTGGCTGCTCTTTTGGGGTCTCCTGACATCTCATCTGGTCAGTCCTGGCTTGAATGGACTTGGATGTGATATGGGCTCCAGGAGCCGCGTATGCAGTTAGCAAAGAGGCCATTTCCATCGTTGTCTGAGCAAAACACAGGTGAACAAACCATTAAGGAAGGGAGCCTTTCTTGGCTGGGCCATGGGGACGTAGGAGAGGATGTCTCAGCACCCAGAGCTGTCTTCTTTCACTCTTAAGCATTAAGGGCAGAGTGGGGATGAGCGGGGCCTGGGGACTGGCTGCTGGGAGAGTGGGAACTGGGGCAGAAGTACAGCCCTGTGCATCCTTCCTTCAGTGCCTGGAGGCAGGGGATGGTGCTGTTCATCCTTGGGGTTGATCTAGGACAGCTTGCCCTCTCTCAGTGTTTTTTGGGGTCTGATGGAGAGTCCTGGCCCTGCACCCTGCTCCACTGGACCCCTTAGTCCCCAGTGTGAGTGTCCTGCTGGCGTCCCTGAGGTACATGGGGTGGGCGCAGCATTGGTGCTGCCTTATCCTTAGCCAGACCATGGCCCTCCCAGTTAGAGGCACGGACTCCTGCATGCCCAGGCCACACAGAAAGGCAGGCACAAGCCCAGTGGGCTGTGTGGGGTCTCTGCCTCTGCCTTCCCCTTCCTCTGGAGACACCCTCACAAATGCATCCTGTTATCCCCATAGGTAACCACAGCTGCATCCCCAATGCCGAGACGTCCTTCCCAGAAAACAACTTCCTCCTGCATCTGACGGCTCTGGAGGACATCGAAGCAGGAGAGGTGAGACGGTGGGGCCCGGATGAACCTGGGGTGGCGTTGCACCTTGGCGGAGGGGCTTCTTGCTGCCAGGGTGCAGACTGTTCCGTACATCCCCCATGGACCCCAGCCCCATACCTCCTGCCTCTTATGTCGCTCTGGCAGAGGAATTCATGCCTTGTCCCATGTCAGGGCTGCTAGGCCTCACGTTTCTGCTTGTCTTTTGGAGGGGCCAGTACAAACCGTGCTGCTTTGGGTTCGTGGGAAACAGCTCTCAGCCTGGTTTGTTTCTCTTTGCTCACAGGAAATCTGCATCAGTTATTTAGACTGCTGTCAGAGGGAGCGGAGCAGACACAGCCGCAACAAGATACTCAGGTAGGGGCTGCTTGGAAGGGGACCTGGGGGGACATGGCACCCCTTTGCACCCCCAGCCAGCCTGGGCTGTGTCCCCACCTTGGGGCCCTGTGAGTGCCCTGGTGCGTGGCTGTGCATGGGCTGGTGTGCAAACCAGTGTGCTTGTGGCAGGGTGGGCATACAGCACTTAGTGCTTTTTGGGCTTCATCCGTGCTGCCATCAGACCATGGAGGACTCCTCTCTGAGTGAGGCTGGAGCTCCCTGCTCTCCCTTCTCGTGGGTTGTAGCCCTAATGACGGAGAATTCGCTCCCCCTCCCTCTCTTGCTCTGCTCTGCAGTTGGCTCCTGCAAACCCCTGCTGTCCTCACCCACCTTTCTTTTCCTTCTCTGCCCTTCAAGGGTAGGGGTTCCTGCCGATGGTCACCGTCCCAATGTCCTGTCACCCCTGCAGGGCTGAGAAATCCCTCTCTCCACCCAGACTACCTCCACCCCACCTGAGCCCAGCATCATCAAACATGCAAACTCTGCTGGGTTTAACATGTTTAGCCCCTTCCTGATTGCTTTGTTCCTGACCCCCTGCCCAGCAGCAGCGTTGGGGTTGTCTCAGTGCCATCACTCCTCCTTCTTCCTTCCCTTCTTCCAGGGAGAACTACTTGTTTACCTGCTCCTGTCCCAAGTGCCTAGCGCAAGCTGACGATGCTGACGTGACATCGGATGAAGAGGAGGAGGGCGAAGGGGAGACGGATGATGCTGAGCTGGAGGACGAGATGACTGACGTTTGATCCTGGCTCCGGGCAAGAGGAGAGGGAAGGGACGGGGGGGTCCTCCGAGAGGCAGCAGCTTTAATACTAGAAACAGGGTTGTGTTGTGGGGTTGGGTGGGAGGCCACGTGCCAGTGGTGGGTGCGGAGGTCTGGTGGAGTAGGGCAGCGGGGGAGCCGGAGGCAGGCCCTGCTCCCGCCTGTCCTTGTTGTGTGCTGTGCGTGTGTGTGCGTGTGTATGTGTGTGTGCCAGGCTGTCCCTGTTCTCCCTGTGAGGACAGGTTGTAAGCTGGTGGCCTCCTGCCGTGTCCCGGTCCCCAGAGGGGCCGGCTGGTGCTTGCAGGGGAGGCTGGATCCAGCTAGCACCTGGGCCGGGGTAGGGGACGTCACAGTGGTCACCTTGTGGCTGCCACTGAGGCTGCTCTGCCGTGTCTGTGCCGGCTGTGGGTACGGAGGAGCATGTCCTTTCCTACTCTGCAGGGACGAGGGGAACGTGTGTGCGTGTATGTGTGTTTGTGCACGAGGGGTACTATTTAATGTCTATATTAGCACTATCTACACGCTGAGGAGCTGGGGTCCTTATATATACTCCATTCCATGCCTTGGCTCAGCAGGCAGCAAGGGGCAAAACAATTTTGCAAGTGGGACAGAGACACCTTAGAGGGTGGCTCAGATGCCCGAGTCTAGTGGGAAAAGCGGGGCTGACCCTGGCAGACACCTCCCTCCAGCCTCAGCCGCATCCTTTACACGATGCAGAACCCCTTGCAGCGATTGCCGGGCTGTTCAGGGAGGGGGAATGGCCAGGCTGCTGCTAGCCCAGAGCCAAAATGGGCTACGGTGTTGCGTAAGCAAAGTCACCGTCCAAAACCCGCAAGATGTTTGGGGTTTTGCAGAGAGTGAGCCATCCCGCCGGGCTGTCTGGCTCTGGGCTGCTTCAGGAGCCACCATGGCCAGGGACACAGCGTGGTACTGTGTGCTTTCCCCACACTGAGCTTAACGGGCCCACTGTGGAGATGTTGCCAGCAGCTGAGCGTTGTCATCCATCGCATGCTGCCCACCACCGATGTGACCACACCACTGTCTGCGGTGTCCCCATCTGTAGACCATGTGGCTGGAGGGAGAAGATGGTGCCAAGCAGCAGACAGGCAGCAGGTTGGGGGTGTGCCTGGGGTAATGTCCTCCTCTCTTGGATTTTGGGAGCCGTTTTCCTGCTGCTGCTTCCTTCAAGCCTGTGGCAGCTGGATTGTGGGACCGAGGGCAATGCTGTAGATGGGCACCACTACACTACCACCACCGCCAGCCCTGCACCCCGCTGCTCGTCCCCAGCCGTCCCGGGGCCACGTCCCCTTCAGTGTTCATAATAAACTGAGACTGGTGAGAAGTGGGACCATGTCATTTCTACTGGTAAACTGGAGGGTGCCCAGTGCAGAGACAAGGGCTACGGTCCAGGGGCTGGTGCCAGTGGGGACATAACGGTTTGAGCATGAGGGAACAGAAGCTTACTGAGACCTGGGCAATGACCAGCCCGCCCTTGGGGATGGATGCAATGCTGTCCTGTGAGGCTGTTTCTGCCCCAGTGCATGACTGATCCATGCTGCACAGGGGTCTGACGTGAGCCCTGCCCTGGCTGCAGGAGGCACCTTGGGAGGTTTACTAGGAAAAACACCATTAAGGGATGAGATTGGTTCCTTTGCCAAAAAAAAAAAGAGAAACTCCCCTTTCTTTAAAACTTGTTCAGACTTCATTAGCTCAGACAAAAATATACAGATGTTGGGCAAGTGCTGCTAGTACAGACCGAGCCTGTATATCACTCTCCCTCCCATCCCTGTCATACCGCAGCCACGTCATGCTGCATCCCTCTAAATCAGCAGCACAAATTACCGGTGGCATCGTATGCAGCTTTAAAATGTTTCTCGGGGAAGTGCTGGCCTGCTCTGGGCCATCACCTCCATCCCAGAAAGTCACTACAAAGGGTGCTCGTTTGCCAAGCTCAAGGTTCCCACCGCGGGCGCTGGTGTTTGCCCTTCACCCACACGCTGGCAGCAGCAGAAAGATCTCCCGTTGCTGAATCCGGCAAGGCTGGGTGGTGGGATCTCTGGAGCACATTGGGACCCTTTCCTCAAACGTAGTCCCTGGGGCAATCTCCTGGGATCCACTGAGAAGTCCTTGATCCGCCGCAGCCTCTTGCTGCTACCAGAAGGTCCAGGGGGGCTGCATCACTTCATATGTGGGAATGCTGGTGACGTTGACGGGAATGGAGATGACAGCCCAGGGGAGCCCATGCTGCTCCAGGGACCGTCTGATCATGTACCTGGAAGGATAAAGAGGAGACAGGCATGCCCAAGTTGGGAGAGTTGGAGCCCAGGCATGAGCAGAAACCACAAACCATCTCAAAGAGAAATTCTGCAGATTAATTCTGACTGAATCCACTGAAAATCTGGCTCACCAAGCCCAGGTGGGACGCACTGATCACTAGGACCTCCCTGATTTGTGGGGACAAGGCTGTTGCTCGGCCCTTCCCATGAGATGTTCCACACTTGGGAAGATGACATGTCTCTTGGCCAAGGCACCTACCCGTCCCTGCCCAGCAGGAAGAGTGCGGGGATGTCGGCTGTCCGCCTGGTGCTGTCCTGGATCATCTCGATATAGAAGCTGTCATTATCGTAGGCATTATCTGCGATGATCACCGCCCGGCCACCGTGCTCCTGGATCACACGCGTCTTCGACAGGAACGAGCAACCCCTGGGGTAGAGAGTGATGAACCTTTGGTGGCTGCAGGCGGATCCTTGGCAGGTATGAAACCTGCAAGTGCCAGAGCTTGCCTGGAGATGCCCAAAATGGGGATTGTCTCCCTGGTCCCACTGCGCCTCCCCCAAACCCCACTCCTCTTTGAGTCTGTATTTTAGGCACAGACTGCCCACACTCAGCCATTTTCTCCTAAGAAAAAATAAAATAAAATAGAGTTTTTTCCACCTTAGGGCAGGCTGGTTTCTAAGAGACACAACATGAAACACTCTGGGGTAGGAGCACCCTCACATTTTCCTCGTACACCCACGTGGGGTAAGTCACGGGAAGAAGCTGTAGGTGATGGTAAGATGTGGCCACAGCACTGTCACACTCTGTGCCGTGGGGAGTTCCCCTTCTGCCTGCGGTTCCCCCCCAGACATCTCCCGTGACGCCAGACATACCCCCTCTCCACCAAGGCAATCTGGTCCTGGATGAAGACGCCATTATTCAGCTCTCCGCAGGCTTCGGGGGGATCTGCTGGGACCAGGTGGATCTGGTCGTACCTTGTGTTCTCCGAGAAGGAGACAGGCAGGGGTGAGCAAGGTGGATATTGGGGCTGCTTCCCATCCCCTGCCCCACCGCAGCCGTCCCTGCTGTGCCCTGCTCATCCCTGTGCCAGGTGTGCTTTTGGGGAGATTTAGGGCTCGCGGGTGCAGGGATGCCGGTTGCCCCTTTCCAGGCCCTGCAGAGCCATCCCAACTTCACTCAACAGCTTGCCTAGATCTTGCTGTCACTGCGGAGAGGGGAAACTGAGGCACGGCACTGTTTATACCTACAACTGCTCCCGGGGAATGTGTGCAGAGCCAGAAAGTGTCCTTTCCTCTAGTCCTCAATGTCCCATGTGCTTCCTAGCAGGTCTGCTCCTGCACCCCCATCCTGACTCTGGGTTTATTCAGGGAAAGATCTTACATCTGCAGACCAGTTGGTTTAACTCTACCATTCCCCATGGGAGCCCGAGGAGCCCTCCTGGGACATGGCTGCGCCTGTCTTCCCCCTCGGAGGAGGAAAGAGCGGGGCATATTCTCCCTGACCATGCATGGGGCCAAATTCCCCCTCCAAAAGCCTGCTGAGGCCAAATGCAAGGATCACTGTGTGCCTCCTTCCTACGGAAAGGCTCACAAAAGAGCAATTATCTCCACTTTTATAAAAGGCTTCAAATTACTGGGCCCTGCAATAGAGAAATATTAGGAAGGGAGGGGGACCCAAGACAAATTCAGTTCTTAATACTTACAAACACACCACCAAAATCCTTGGCCGGAGTGGCGGTGAAGATGTAGCGGATGTCTCCAGGGCTCAGCACTTGGAAATACAAGTATTCATGGATGCGTAAACCTGGGTGTGCATGGAAAGAGGTGAGAGGCTGAGAAAACAAAGGGGAAAATCCCTGAAACAAGAGAAAATACCCAACTACAGCTCCCTGAACTGCACCATGCTGAAGGGAACGCACCCTTTGGCAATGCCAACTCCTAGCTGGGCCCTGGGGCCGAGGACCCAAAATGCCAGGTTCAGCCTGGGGTGCTGCAAGGGAAGATGCAGCAGCAGTGGGGCATATGCTCCCTGACCATGCATGGGGCCAAATTCCCCCTCCAAAAGCCTGCTGAGGCCAAATGCAAGGATCACTGTGTGCCTCCTTCCTACGGAAAGGCTCACAAAAGAGCAATTATCTCCACTTTTATAAAAGGCTTCAAATTACTGGGCCCTGCAATAGAGAAATATTAGGAAGGGAGGGGGACCCAAGACAAATTCAGTTCTTAATACTTACAAACACACCACCAAAATCCTTGGCCGGAGTGGCGGTGAAGATGTAGCGGATGTCTCCAGGGCTCAGCACTTGGAAATACAAGTATTCATGGATGCGTAAACCTGGGTGTGCATGGAAAGAGGTGAGAGGCTGAGAAAACAAAGGGGAAAATCCCTGAAACAAGAGAAAATACCCAACTACAGCTCCCTGAACTGCACCATGCTGAAGGGAACGCACCCTTTGGCAATGCCAACTCCTAGCTGGGCCCTGGGGCCGAGGACCCAAAATGCCAGGTTCAGCCTGGGGTGCTGCAAGGGAAGATGCAGCAGCACAGAGGAGATGGGGGAAAGGCACCGGGACTGGGGTGCAAGAGGGGAAGGGGAAAACGCAGCCAGACCACGGAGGGGATAGGGGTGACATGCACCCAGATCGAGCTGCAGAGGGAAAATGCACTCGGACTGAGGCACCCCGAAAAGAAATGCACCCAGGACAGGGCCAGGGCACACCAAGGGGAAATGCAGCCGGACTGGGGTGCTGGAGGGGGGAAATGCAATGGGGCTGGGGTGCAGTGATGGGAAATGCACCTAGATTGGGGTGCAGGAGAGGAAATGCACCCGGAACGAGGTGCTGGATGGAGAAATGCAATCAGGTCGGGGTGCACCGAGGGGAAACGCCGCCGGATTGGGGTACAGGAGGGGACATGCACCGGGCCCAGGTGCACGGAGGAGAAATGCACCGGGATCGGGGTGCACGGAGGGGAGAAGCAGGCGGGCGGGTCGGGTCGGATCGGGTC